AAGTACAACACCTTGTCGGCCCCGCATCACAAAAGGCTCGGTGAAGGGCGGTATCTAACTGAGTAATGACGCTGGTGACTCTGAATTGGGTGAAGGCGGAGCCTGTCACCCGACGTTCAACATCACCACGTCACTGGTCTAAAGATGTGATTAGAGGTGGCTTCAGCCAGGCGCGCGAGGGCGCGCGTGTCCCATATACAACTGTATGTTGTACTTCGTTCCATTCCTTCAAGGAACCGTGGTTATATTCCTAACCTTACGTTTTTATGGATTCTCTACACGAGACGATGTGGGCACTATGAATCCGGCACATGTTGTGCAGAAGTAGCAATTAAAGAACTTTTTCTTTAATGAACACGTTTTTAGTTTAACCCTTTGGCAGTAAAGATGCAGAAAAGAATTCGGTTTGCAGTAATTACAAACACGCACACATGAAACCAAACTCACAATAGTCCTATTGATAAGTAGAACACACCTTCAGCTTTTCAGGTAACAATAAGATCCTAAATGACTGCGCAGAACATATAATTAAATCATGTTTTTGTTGTTGCACACCCAGACTTGCTGTCTTCACTTCTTTCCATTCAGGTGATGAAGACTCACCGACTGAGAGGGTCTGGTTCCGGTCAGAGGAGCGTAGACCACCCGGTACTGTTGGACTGGCCCTGTAGCTGGCTCCCAGCGAACATTCAGAGTGGTGATGGTGGGGTTGAAGACCTCAATATTTCTGACGGGGCTTCGCGGCACTGCCAATATTTAAGCAATGGATGGCAAAAAAGGTGGTTTGGATTAGTGGCAGAAATAGAAAAGGAAAATGTGAGGCTGTTTTAAACTTTCTCATATGTCTTTTTTTGTCTCATCTTTACCGTCTACGTAGAATAACACTGTTCAATTATTTCAATAAAAGGGAAACAATTATCCCAAGCACCCAACAGAGGCACTATTTAATGCTATCAATGGGACGCTTCCTGTCGGTGCCCTGGAGGTTAATGAAAAATGCAGCTCTGTGTGAAGCTTGCCTTGAATATAACCAAGGCAGATGTTTTAAGGTCTCTGTGTTCCATCACATAATAACCTCATAAACCAGACTAAAACACAGTGGGTAGGACAGACGGAAGGAGCTTCTGTAGTTTTAATTTTCACAGACAATCCTTGTTGCTTCGGAAGCAGCTTTGTGTGAGACGTAGTAAATTTACGTCAAACAGTGAACTTTGGTTCTTCGCCAAAGACAAATTGCAAAAATGTCCATTCACAGACAAGAAAATTCCAAAAAGTAGCAATTAACAGGCCTTGTAATTTGTAGTTGCTCTGTAAGAGTTTTGTTAAAATGTCCAAGAAAAAAAAAGGCCACAAAACATGAGTGGTCATTGCTTGAGGAGCAAGATTGGGGGTAAAAGTAGCACACTTGGAGCATGACCCAAGCCAAGTGAGCTGGGAGCCATAAAAGCCATAATACTCCCTTTCTTTTCTAACCTCCCTTGTTAGTGTTTTTTTTTCCCAAAAAGGGAGCCAAATACTCAACATGTCCCRTCCCACATTCTCCAGTCTTTCCTTTAGCCTGACCACTGCCCTTTCTTCTTGGCTATAAATTATTATTATTACGGTAAAGACAGAGGAGACCCCTTTATAACCCTGCCAACCATGAGGAATTCCTTCCTATGCAATCACACCACAAAATGCTGACTCATTCCCAGCATAGTTTGGTGGTTTGACTGTTGCACCAACTGGGAAAATMATCTGTGTTTATAAATTGATGATGATGATAGATGGACTCATGAATGCATAGATAAATGCAATGGAGAGATGGATGAATGGATGGATGAGATGATGATTATTCATGGAATTGGACTCAAAAACAGCAGTTTAAACCTAGAACTTGGCAGTCATGCATGGTGGAAATCTATTGTCAGCCATTTAAATCCAAGTCGTGAAGAAGACTTGGGCTGAACGACATGGACAAATACAAACACGAACAGACAAACATGGTAAAACTGAGCTGGTTCAGCTGCAGCATCATTAGATTTGAGCGGTGGATGATGGGTTAAAGGACTCTTGATGATGAAACCACTGTTGTCCCAGAAACAACAGCTCTGATGACTACATGCTTTTGTCACAAATAAAAGCATCATTTTGTTTTACCACAAACCTGTTACACTTGGTCTACCASCATCCCTGGGCACTACAGRGGCAAAAAATAAAAGCATWTAATGGCCTTAGCCTTCACTGAACATTTTAATCAACTTACTTCTAAACAACAACATTTTAGTTATGAAGATCACATAGGGAGATCTGGACAGGTAGTTTAAAAAATACAGTTTTGCATGAAGTTTTTCTAAAYGCAGAATTTAGAGCAAGCATCTTATACCTCTCTGTGCCAACCAAATCTGTATTCTTACTCAGATGAAACCTATCATTTAAAATTTCTTTATATTTTACATGCATGTAAAATAACTTTAATGTGCTATCCATTTCCTGAAAAAGTAGCTGCTTTTGATTAGAGTAGCTTAGCTAACAAGACTTGGATGATGAAAGTAGTTACTGAACATTTAGGGAGAGCGCGCCAGCAGCTAAGGCCAGTGAGTTCACTCTGGACAAACATGAATGGATCCCTGACTCAGGAAAATAGTTCCAATGGCAATACAAAATAYATAACTCACGTTAATCCACTGGGTTTTTATAAACCCTATAACATGTCTTTAAAGAAACKCACTATTTCTTCYCAATGCTCCTGCATAAATCTCTGTTGCATCTTATGATCGGTACCATGCGTTTCTTACATGTTTTTCCATTCTCAGACATGCGCTGTCCATCTCCAGTGGAATAAACTGGAACCACAGACACCGTGTACAATGTGTCAGACTGCAGGTTCTTCAGCACTGTGTTTAAGGTGCCTCCTGGTACCTGAGCCTACACAGAGGAAAAAGGCAGCAGGTGTTGTTAGCAGTGGGGACTTTACAGCACATGAAATTATTTATACCTGTGGTTCCCAACCTGGGTGGAGGGGGGCATAACTTTATTTGCTAAGTTTGTGAAAATATCAGTTTAAGGATTTTTGTATAAAAAATCACCAAAACATGTTCATTTCAATAAATAAAACTCTCTTTACCTCACTTCGTATTATTTTTCCTTTTCCAAATAAAGGTTTAACTACTCCCTTTAACCTTTTATTTTGACAAAGGGATAAAGGTTTAATGAATCTTTGGTAGAGGGTGTGAGAAGGGGTTATCTGCGGAATCAAAGTGGGCGTGTCACAAGAGTAGGCGTGTCAAAAGCATAAACACTGTGGGCTACGAGGCCTACATGACGGTATCCTTAGATCCTGCTTGATCTCTTTACAGCCTGACCCTGACCCCAACACTAAGKTTAACCAGGAGAAATGTRACCCAAGTAGGGGTCTCCAGAAAAAGTGGTRCCGTACAGTAACGCCCCTTTTGTTCTTGTCCAATGWGGWGGTGCYGTACRGTATCGCCCCTTATTTGCTTGTCCAGTCAGGTGTGTCCCTTTAACAAAGTCMGTCAAATCAGGTGTCGCTTTAGAATCGCCTTTCCTTGTGACACGCCCACTCATCCGCACTCATTCGCAGAGACCCCTACTTGGAGGGTGTTGGACTGACACCCTCCCTTCCATTAAGGGGCGCTACAGGTTGTTCACTTTTGTTCTGAAGGTCTTTGTGTCAAACCGGAAGTAACATTGCCAAAATTGGAAGTGACTTTAAAAYAAGCTTAAGAAAACTTCAACATTTGCAGTTAAATACATTGTCCAACGTGGTAAGTTATTTGTTATTGTAATAATAAGCATTTGTGTTGCTGTGTAGTTTAATTTTTTGTGTTGAAAATAATTTTTTCCAGCATAAGTGTTCTGGAGAGATTAGCAGTAAGCTAGTAGTTTTCTGCCATAACAGACTGTATATTAGCAGCTTATTAGCACAAGGCTAATACTTGTTTTTGCAAAATATGGATTAATATTGATATGTTATTGGTTCTGTTTTAAATGAGTAAATGAAATGTGGTTTACATTTTATTATTTGCTGGTTTAGATTCAACCCAGCTTTAGTTGTGTTGTGTTTGGTTTATGTAAGTCACTATGACGGTCAAATGTGTGTTTATAAATTTGGGTTTGTATGAATATAAAAAAAAAATTAAAAGACTAAATGTAATTTATTCTCATATACAGTTTAACCGGTAGCAGCTGCTCTGTGTGTTTCAGTGGGCAATAAACTAGCTAAAGCTATCCTTTTATTTGTGATATGGGGAGCAGCGAGAGATTTGGGGGTAGGAGGACTCAGCTTGGTTTGAAATATAAAAAAGGGGGCTTTGAGGAATATAGGATGGGAACCACTGCTTTATAACATTATTGCCTCTTTACCATTTCTTCTCGTCCTCCAGCTGTAGGGACATAGAAGATCCTATACTGACGCACGGGGCCTTCAGCAGGCTCCCACTGGACATTCAAGGTGCTGGTGGTCGGATCTGTCACCCTCAAGTTTCTAACACCACCCAAAGGCTCTGCCATTAAAAAACAGGCATGATATATTTACTTATTTATATACCTATGGGCTTTTATTCAGGAGTGTATTTATCAAGAACCCATAATACAGTATATTTGTTACTTACTGGTCTTTCCAAGCCCATTCAGATCTCCACTTGGTCCATTGGCATAAATTGCACTCACACTGATTGCATACTCAGTATCAGGGGTCAGCTTAGGAAGCAGAACAGAGGTCTTTTTTCCACCAACCTGGGTCTAGTTGAGGAAGAGGAAATCATTTGACTGTAAACTTTTGAGAATCTTACCATGCAGAGATGTTAGTTTGCACCAATAACAAACAGGAATTGAAAATCACTGGTTTAAGTAACAAAAACGTTAACTCAGCAGTTTTTTTAAGACTTAAATGACTTTTTCTGATATAATATTGGAAAAGATCCTTTGAAAATTAATCTTGTGTTGAGGAAAATATATTTGATGTGTGTTTGGATGGGCTAAAAGAAAATTATTAATGGATTCTTGACACCAGTAACTTCATGGAAAGAATTCTACCTGAGAACTACGAGGCTGTCGGCATTTCCGAAGGAGAACGCTTTGAGTGTTTTTGGACCTGAGTGGTACATAGTGCTCCAGCCAAGGTAAATCTCTGAGCTGATGCTTGAAACAGCTGTTTGTCATGACTGGTGATGTATTTACTATACTGCTTTTGGCTTATTGTAAGCAAAAGAGTCAATGCTAAGCAGCATCTTGGTCTGTGGAACTGTGGATGTTTATCAATGGCTTGCTGCAAATAAAAAAACCAAGACGATTTGAGTTACGYAAGTGCATTATCTTTAAAACTGTATCAGTCGAACGCATGAGCATCTTCCAGTCACTGAGGCAACATGAACTCTTTTGTATAACAAAGTACTCTAAAGTCAAATGTGAGGACATCTGTCCAGCAGCTGAAGTTCGGGTCAAACTGGGTCGAGCAGCTGGAGTTTCATTTCAAACACGGAACTAAAACTACAACAAAATGTCCGAAAGAAAATTCAGGATGTTGCAATGACCCAGCATAAGTCCAGACCCTGGCCTGCTGTGCATCATGATCTGAAGAAACGTTCTAAAGACAAGTTGGCCAAAATATCTTCAGRAAAAAATGTGTGACCAATAAAGTCATCCAGAAGACAACTTGCTCACATCATTATTGCTAAAAGGGTTGTGCTTCATTTGTCACACAATATTTCTACAATAGTTCTTCTTGCTGTTTATCCAAAAAGGATAAAAATATGTGAACCAAAGTTAGACTTCTTTATTTCACATTTACTTTACGTGTCTATTAGTCTGTAAAACGCTGYGTGAGCATGTTTCCCTCTTTTTAAAATCTAGCTTTTAAATTCAGTGACTAATAGGACAGAACAATGTTCACCATCCAAAAAAAATACATGTTTTTTTACATTTGATAAATCAGCTAAAACTTTATGACTGTCAGCTGTCTCACAATTTATAATAAAAGTAGAAAACAGCTCAGTAATCCATCAAGATACGTGAATCAGAATGAACTAAAAYACTGAATACTACTGGCAGCTTTATGTATTTCTTTTTCACATTAAAAGTCAAAAGTCAAGGGAGCAACACAAATTACAATTAAAAACAATAGCAAAAATACAGACAGAATGCTCATTTCCTCTCTTTTTTTGCAGCAGTTTTTTAACATCCTTGTTAGAAATCTAACTGTGCTGTGACTTACACTCTGCATCCGGCCTCCAGCTGTGGGGACGTAGTTGACCCTGTAGGTCTGGACCCGTCCCGTAGGTGGAGTCCATCTGGCATTCAGAGTGGTGGTGGTTTCATTATACACAACCAAGTTGGTGGGAGGAGCATTTGGTACTGAAAAAAAAAACATACAAGCAAGCACATTAAGCACTATTACATACAAATCAGATTCCATTACATGTAGAACTGTGGTTGGTTGAATGGATGGCCTTGAAATGTCTTTTAAAGACACAGTCCTTCATCATTTGGTCAGCTCAGTGCGGTCTGCTTTTGCCAGTGAGTCATTTCATATCAAACGTTTTGTTCTGGATGAAACTTTTCTTTTACAGTAAAATAAAGGACTGCAGCTTTAAAGAGGAAAAGACAGTCCTCGTGGATTTATCTTTTCTGAAGCAGGCATGGATTCTCATGACTGGCAATGGATTGATGATGATGATGATGATGATAGATGGACTCATTAATGAACAGATAAATGCAATGGAGAAATGGAGAGATGGATGGATGGATGGATGGATTGATGAGATGATGATGATTCATGGAATTGGACTCAAAAACAGCAGTTTAAACCTAGAAATTGGCAGGCATGCATGGTGGAAATCCATCGTCAACCATTTAGTTCCAAGTCACGAAGAAGACTTGGGCTGAACGACACGGACAAACACAAACACGAACAGACAAACATGGTAAAACTGAGCTGGTTCAGCTG